GCTAGGAGGTTAGCGGTAGACGTGTGAGTCCCACCAAGATAGGAGGCTAGCGGTAGACGTGTGAGTCCCACCAAGCTAGGAGGTTAGCGGTAGACGTGTGAGTCTCACCAACCTAGGAGGTTAGTGGTAGACGTGTGAGTCCCACCAACCTCGGAGGCTAGTGGTAGACGTGTGAGTCCCACCACGCTAGGAGGTTAGCGGTAGACGTGCAAGTCTCACCAAGCTAGGAGGATAGCGGTAGACGTGTGAGTCCCACCAAGATAGGAGGTTAGCGGTAGACGTGTGAGTCCCACTAAGCTAGGAGGTTAGCGGTAGACGTGTGAGTCCCACCAAGCTAGGAGGCTAGCTGTAGACGTGTGAGTCTCACCAAGCTAGATTAGTGGTAGACGTGTGAGTCCCACTAAGCTAGGAAGTTAGTGGTAGACGTGTGAGTCCCACTAAGCTAGATTAGTGGTAGACGTGTGAGTCCCACCAAGCTAGGAGGTTAGTGGTAGACGTGTGAGTCCCACCAAGCTAGGAGGCTAGCGGTAGACGTGTGAGTCCCACTAAGCTAGGAGGTTAGTGGTAGACGTGTGAGTCCCACCACGCTAGGAGGTTAGCGGTAGACGTGTGAGTCCCACCAAGATAGGAGGTTAGCGGTAGACGTGTGAGTCCCACCAAGATAGGAGGTTAGCGGTAGACGTGTGAGTCCCACCAAGCTAGATTAGTGGTAGACGTGTGAGTCCCGCCAAGCTAGGAGGTTAGTGGTAGACGTGTGAGTCCCACCAAGATAGGAGGTTAGCGGTAGACGTGTGAGTCCCACCAAGATAGGAGGTTAGCGGTAGACGTGTGAGTCCCACCAAGCTAGATTAGTGGTAGACGTGTGAGTCCCGCCAAGCTAGGAGGTTAGTGGTAGACGTGTGAGTCCCACCAAGATAGGAGGTTAGCGGTAGACGTGTAAGTCCCGCCAAGCTAGGAGGTTAGTGGTAGACGTGTGAGTCCCAACAAGCTAGATTAGTGGTAGACGTGTGAGTCCCACCAAGATAGGAGGTTAGCGGTAGACGTGTGAGTCCCACCAAGCTAGATTAGTGGTAGACGTGTGAGTCCCGCCAAGCTAGGAGGTTAGTGGTAGACGTGTGAGTCCCACCAAGATAGGAGGTTAGCGGTAGACGTGTGAGTCCCGCCAAGCTAGGAGGTTAGTGGTAGACGTGTGAGTCCCACCAAGATAGGAGGTTAGCGGTAGACGTGTGAGTCCCACCAAGCTAGGAGGCTAGTGGTAGACGTGTAAGTCCCGCCAAGCTAGGAGGCTAGCGGTAGACGTGTGAGTCCCACTAAGCTAGGAGGTTAGCGGTAGACGTGTGAGTCCCGCCAAGCTAGGAAGTTAGCGGTAGACGTGTGAGTCCCACTAAGCTAGGAGGTTAGCGGTAGACATGTGAGTCCCGCCAAGCTAGGAGGCTAGTGGTAGACGTGTGAGTCCCATCAAGCTAGGAGGTTAGCGGTAGACGTGTGAGTCCCGCCAAGCTAGGAAGTTAGCGGTAGACGTGTGAGTCCCACCAAGCTAGGAGGCTAGTGGTAGACGTGTGAGTCCCACTAAGCTAGGAGGTTAGCGGTAGACGTGTGAGTCCCACTAAGCTAGGAGGTTAGCGGTAGACGTGTGAGTCCCACCAAGCTAGGAGGTTAGCGGTAGACGTGTGAGTCCCACCAAGCTAGGAGGTTAGCGGTAGACGTGTGAGTCTCACCAAGCTAGGAGGTTAGCGGTAGACGTGTGAGTCCCGCCAAGCTAGGAAGTTAGCGGTAGACGTGTGAGTCCCACTAAGCTAGGAGGTTAGCGGTAGACGTGTAAGTCCCACCAAGATAGGAGGCTAGCGGTAGACGTGTGAGTCCCACCAAGATAGGAGGCTAGCGGTAGACGTGTGAGTCTCACCAAGCTAGGAGGTTAGCGCTAGACGTGTGAGTCCCACCAAGATAGGAGGCTGTACCTCCCTAGGGTATTGGGTGAGGGGACCGAATACCCCTCTCTGTGTGTTAAGGATTCTACAAGAAAATAGTTACAATAAGCAGAGTGTGCCTCCTAAGAAGTTTACTCGTCTTTAGAACACTACAGTTGTATTGTGTTGATTGTTGTATTGGTGGCTGTGTTGGTGGTTGTGTTGTGTTGATTGTTGGATTTATGGCTGTGTTGGTGGTTGTGTTGATGGCTGTGTTGGTGGTTGTGTTGGTGGCTGTGTTGATGATTGTGTTGGTGGTTGTTTTGATGGTTGTGTTGATGGTTGTCCGGCAAAAACAACCCCCTACCTCCTCGTGGTGACGGACGGGAAACGCTGTGCCGGGCAGTGCCGTGGGGGGGAGAGCCAATTTCAAGTGGCCAATCCCCTCATGGCGTTTGTGACCATCACAGCGGCCAAACGGGGGCTCTGGACGGGTGCGAGGGGCTGGTATCCCCTCCACCTTCAATTAACTACCACCAAGCTACGTGGTAAAACATTTATTAAGCTTGTGCCGGAGGCCCCGGGGGGACAGGCGTCTATGACGTCTCCTGGCCAAACCCCAATTGGCGGAGCCAGGAGATTGAATATCTACCCTCGGGGCTCCTCCAGAAACAACGAAAGACCACTGAGGGTGGCCCAGTGGAATGTCCGAATGCTCACTGCGGAGGAGAGGCTGCCACTCCTGTGTCGGGAGCTGGACCGGTACCGCCTGGATGTCTGTGGTATTCAGGAGGTCCGGTGGACCGGTTCTGGCTCCTGCCACCATGAGGGGTGGACAGTCCTTTACTCGGGGAAGGAGACTGCCAAACAACAGGGAGTGGCTCTTCTTTTGAACAAAAGAATGAAGGGGGCGTTGGAGCGTGGCGGTGAGGTGTGGGAAGGGGTAAGCCCCAGACTACTTTGGGCTCGCCTTCCCATCAACCGGAGGTGAGGAGTGGTGGTAGTGGTTACTTATGCCCCCACCGAAGACGAACATCCGTGGAGGGATGCAGGCAAGGCCGATTAGTCAGATGCCTTCTATGAGCTCCTGTCACAGGTGCTGGCTAAAGTGGCCCCTCGGGATAGAGTCATCTTGTTGGGCCGACTTCAATGCCCGAGTTGGTCATGATGCTGGCACCTGGTCTGGAGTGATTGGAAGGCATGGGCCAGATCTGCTGAATAACAACGGTAGGAGGCTGCTAGATTTTTGTGCAGCCCATAGGCTTGTAATTACCAACATGCTGTTCCGGCATCAGCACATCCACACATCATGGATGCATGCCGGGGCAAGAACATCTGCTGGACTACATAGTGATGGAATAGCGGATGAGGGCCCATGTCCTTGACACCAGGACCTACCGTGGAGCTGATCTGCCCACTGACCATCGACTTGTCATCTGTAAGATGCGCCTGCCATTCTTCCACTTCGGTGGTGGGTGTACACCCAGGACCCCTTTCAAACCCAAGGTGGACTGGTCTCAGCGAGCTGATGAAAGTTGCAAGCGATAATTTAATTATCGCTTTCGGCTGGGGTTGGCATCGTCCCCCACTCCTCCAGATGTCCAGATGTCGAGGGGAAATGGGTGAGGTTTAGGACTGTGGCTCATGCAGCATCAATGGCTGCTTTGGGTACACGGTCCAGACCCTGGCTGACAGAGGAGGTGTTCAGGCTGGCTGAGAAAAAGCGACAGGCCCAATTTAGTTGTCTACAGCATCCCACGTTAGAGAATGAGGAGGCTTACCGCAGCCTTTGCTCGGATGTTCGGAGAGCTGTGAGGCGCTGCAAGGATGGGTGGTGGTTGCGGGTTGAGTCTGCCTCAATGGCCCACGATCACAAATCCCTATTTAACTCCATCAAAAAGGTAACCTGCAGCACCACACCTATTACCATCATTCGGGAAAAAAACGGTGATCCAATCTCCGACCCCCAGGAACAGGTTTGCAGATTTGCTGAGCATTTCTGAGGTCCTGGGGGAGGGGAAATCCCTCGGCTCTTTAAGAAGGAGGACCGCACAGACTGTAACAACTACAGGGGCATCTTACTCCTCAGTGTGCCGGGAAAGGTCCTGGCAAGGATTATTCAACATTGCCTTGCCAGGCACGCTGAGGAGAGGCTTGCGGAGCCCCAATGCGGTTTCAGGAAAGGGCGGTCCTACACAGATGCCATATTGATGGTTGTGTTGATGGTTGTGTTGTTGTGTTGGTGGCTGTGTTGACGGTTGTGTTGATGGTTGTGTTGATGGTTGTGTTGATGGTTGTGTTGTTGTGTTGGTGGCTGTGTTGACGGTTGTGTTGTTGTGTTGATGGTTGTGTTGATGGTTGTGTTGATGGTTGTGTTGTTGTGTTGGTGGGCTGTGTTGACGGTTGTGTTGTTGTGTTGGTGGCTGTGTTGACGGTTGTGTTGTTGTGTTAATGGTTGTGTTGATGGTTGTGTTGATGGTTGTGTTGTTGTGTTGGTGGCTGTGTTGACGGTTGTGTTGTTGTGTTGGTGGCTGTGTTGGTTGTTGTTGTGTTGATGGTTGTGTTGTTGTGTTGGTTGTTGTGTTGATGGCTGTGTTGGTTGTTGTTGTTGTGTTGATGGTTGTGTTGTTGTGTTGGTTGTTGTTGTGTTGATGGCAGTGTTGGTTGTTGTTGTTGTTGTTGTGTTGATGGCTGTGTTGGTTGTTGTTGTTGTTGTGTTGGTGGCTGTGTTGGTTGTTGTTGTTGTGTTGATGGCTGTGTTGGTTGTTGTTGTTGTGTTGGTGGCTGTGTTGGTTGTTGTTGTGTTGATGGTTGTGTTGTTGTGTTGGTTGTTGTGTTGATGGCTGTGTTGGTTGTTGTTGTTGTGTTGATGGTTGTGTTGTTGTGTTGGTTGTTGTTGTGTTGATGGCTGTGTTGGTTGTTGTTGTTGTGTTGATGGCTGTGTTGGTTGTTGTTGTTGTTGTGTTGGTGGCTGTGTTGGTTGTTGTTGTTGTGTTGATGGCTGTGTTGGTTGTTGTTGTTGTGTTGGTGGCTGTGTTGGTTGTTGTTGTTGTGTTGATGGCTGTGTTGGTTGTTGTTGTTGTTGTTGTGTAGAGCTGGACGCGACACTGGGGGGCCGCGTGGGGACGCAGCGACACAGCCTCCGTGACGTCGGCCGATCCAAAAACATCCTCAAGAACATCCTCATCCTGTCCTTCACCACGTGGGGACACGGGGGCACGGGGTCACGGGGTCACGTTACACGGGGTCACGTGACACGGGGTCACGGGGTCACGTGACACAGGGTCACGTGACACTGGAACATGGGGTCACGGGGTAATGGGGTCACGGGGTAAGGTGGGCACGGGGTCACGGGGTCAAGGGGACACGGGGTCATGGAGACACGGGTCACGGGGCAAGGGGGACACGGGGACACGGAGTCACGTGTGAGTCTTGAGGCTGGGCAAGTCTCTTTTGACAGTGGTGGTGGCGGCGATGATGGTTGTGGTGGTGATGATGATGGTGGTGATGGTGGCGATGATGGCGATGATGATGGTGGTGGTGATGATGATGGTGGTGGTGGCGGCGATGATGGTTGTGGTGGTGATGATGATGATGATGGTGGTGATGGTGGTGATGGTGGCGATGATGATGGTGGTGGTGATGATGATGGTGGTGATGATGGCGGCGACGACGGCGACGACGACGATGACGATGGTGGCAGTGTTGACGACGGCGATGACGACGATGACGACGATGACGACGGCGATGACGACGATGACGATGGTGGCAGTGTTGACGACGGCGATGACGACGATGACGATGGTGGCAGTGTTGACGGCGATGACGACGATGACGATGGTGGCAGTGTTGACGACGACGACGACGGCGATGACGACGTTCCCCGTCTTCCGCGCGCAGGTTCATCGGCAACGCCATCCACCACTGCTTCGAGCGCAACCTGCGGGCGGCCGTCGTGGCCATCGCCGCGGCGGCGACGGTGACTACGGCGGCGGTGACTACGGCCGCGGTGACTACGGCGGCGGTGACTACGGCGGCGGTGACTACGACTACATCAGCGACGGCGGCGGCGGCGGCGACGGCGACTACGGCGACGTACTTCTCCGGGGCGGGGGCTCGCGCCGCCGCCTGCCTCGCCGTGTGGGCCGCCGCCGGGCGTCTGGGCCGCAGGGCCACGCTGCTGCTGGCCGCCGTCGGCACGGGCGGCGTCTCCCTGCTGCAGCTGGCGCTGGCGCAGTGTGGGTGGGGGTGGGGGGGGTGGGGGGGGGGGGGGTGGGGGGGGTGGGGGGTGGGGGTGGTGGGGGGGGGGGGTGGGGGTGGCGGTGCGTTGGGACCTTGGGAGATGCGGGGAGACACCCTGGGGTACCCGTGGCGAGGGAGACACGCTGGGATGGCGAGGGAGACACGCTGGGTACCCTGGGGAGACAGGGGGAGACACGCTGGAACTGGGGAGACGTGGCGAGGGAGACACGCGGGGTACCCTGGGGAGACAGGGGGAGACACGCTGGGGAGACAGGGGGAGACACGCTGGGAACCCTGGGAAGACAGGGGGAGACATGCTGGAACTGGGGAGACGTGGCGAGGGAGACACGCTGGGTACCCTGGGGAGACAGGGGGAGACATGCTGGGGAGACAGGGGGAGACACGCTGGGAACCCTGGGGAGACAGGGGGAGACACGCTGGGAACCCTGGGAAGACAGGGGGAGACACGCTGGAACTTGGGAAACGTGGCGAGGGAGACACGCTGGGTACCCTGGGGAGACAGGGGGAGACACGCTGGGTACCCTGGGGACACAGGGGGAGACACGCTGGGTCCCCTGGGGAGACAGGGGGAGACACGCTGGGAACCCTGGGGAGACAGGGGGAGACACGCTGGGAACCCTGGGGAGACGTGGCGAGGGAGACACGCTGGGAACCCTGGGGAGACAGGGGGAGACACGCTGGGAACCCTGGGGAGACAGGGGGAGACACGCTGGGAACCCTGGGGAGACAGGGGGAGACACGCTGGGAACCCTGGGAAGACAGGGGGAGACACGCTGGGAACCCTGGGGAGACAGGGGGAGACACGCTGGGAACCCTGGGGAGACAGGGGGAGACACGCTGGGTACCCGGGGGAGACAGGGGGAGACACGCTGGGAACCCTGGGGAGACAGGGGGAGACACGCTGGGGAGACAGGGGGAGACACGCTGGGAACCCTGGGGAGACAGGGGGAGACACGCTGGGAACCCTGGGAAGACAGGGGGAGACACGCTGGGAACCCTGGGGAGACAGGGGGAGACAAGCTGGGAACCCTGGGGAGACAGGGGGAGACACGCTGGGTACCCTGGGGAGACAGGGGGAGACACGCTGGGAACCCTGGGGAGACAGGGGGAGACACGCTGGGGAGACAGGGGGAGACACGCTGGGAACCCTGGGGAGACAGGGGGAGACACGCTGGGAACCCTGGGAAGACAGGGGGAGACACGCTGGGAACCCTGGGGAGACAGGGGGAGACACGCTGGGAACCCTGGGGAGACAGGGGGAGACACGGTGGGTACCCTGGGGAGACAGGGGGAGACACGCTGGGTACCCTGGGGAGACAGGGGGAGACACGCTGGGAACCCTGGGGAGACGTGTCGAGATGCACGGGGACCCTGGGGACATACTTGGAGACACGCTGGATACCCTGGGGACATACTGGGAGACACGCTGGATACCCTGGGGAGACGTGGGGAGACACGCTGGAACTGGGGAGACGTGGGGAGACACGCTGAGAGCCCTGGGGAGACGTGGGGAGACACGCTGGGTACCCTGGGGACATGTGGGGAGACACACTGGGTACCTCTGGGGACACGTGGGGAGACACGCTGGGAACCCTGGGGAGACAGGGGGAGACACGCTGGGAACCCTGGGGAGACGTGGGGAGACACGCTGGGTACCCTGGGGAGACAGGGGGAGACACGCTGGGTACCCTGGGGACACGTGGGGAGACACGCTGGGATTGGGGAGATACTGGGAGACACGCTGAGAACCCTGGGGACACGTGGGGAGATGCACGGGAACCGGTATCCTGGCGCGTGCCCTGGCGATGTCTTCCCCGTGCGTCTTCGTGTCTCTCTCCATCGTCGCCACGACCCCCAGACCTGCCTGTGGCCCTGGTGACGCTGCTGTCTGTGCTGGGCCTCTTCTCGTCCAGCGCCATGGCCATCCTCAGCGTCCTCTTCGCCGCCGAGATCATCCCCACCGTCATCCGGTACTCGCTCTACACTCGCTATCGCTATCGCTCACTATCACTCACTATCACTCACTATCACTATCACTCACTATCTCTATCACTCACTATCACTCTCTATCACTATCACTCACTATCACTATCACTCACTATCACTATCACTCACTATCGCTATCACTCACTATCACTCACTCACTATCACTCACTATCACTCACTATCGCTATCATTCACTATCACTATAACTCATTATCACTATCACTCACTATCGCTCACTATCGCTATCACTATCACTCACTATCACTCACTATCACTATCACTCACTATCACTATCACTCACTATCACTATCACTCTCTATCACTCTCACTCACTATCACTATCACTCACTATCACTATCACTCACTATCACTATCGCTATCACTCACTATCACTATCGCTCACTATCACTAGCACTATCACTATCACTCACTATCACTATCGCTCACTATCACTATCGCTATCACTATCACTCACTATCGCTATCACTATCACTCACTATCACTATCACTCACTATCACTATAACTCACTATCACTCACTCACTATCACTCACTATCACTATCGCTATCACTCACTATCACTGCCAATGTTTACTGCGGGATGCTGAAACCTGGGCACACTCGCTGGTGTATACACCACGAGGAGTCGGCTTCAGTTGATTTCATTTTCACTTTTCACTTATTTCGGTTTGCGAGCCCTGTGAAGCCATTCGGCCCTTGAATCGGCTGCAAGAGCAGCAAGCCAACAAATCAACAACGCGAACAAGAAAAACATCTCGAAGTGACTTTGCGCAAAAACAGAAAATCCCGGGGGGGGAAAAAAAAACCACCACCACGGCAAAAAGCTTCCAGAAAAATTCCACCCCGGCACGCCACCAACGCTACGTGCAAAAAAAATTCCCGGTTGCGATGCGAGTCGAACAGCAACAGCAACAACAACAACACCAACAACTTATTTGCTTCTTTCGGTAAAGTCACCGCCGCGTAGGATGAGAAGTAAAATAATAAATTGGTAAAATAAAATAACGCGGTGAAAATTCTCACGACGTTTCGGCCACGACACAAGCGGCCTTCATCGGGTGAAGGGACCAGACTGTCTGGAGGACAGCGCTGGAGTGAACACAGCCAAGCTCAGACCGCGAGACCTTTAAGCTGTGCGAGAAGAAACAGAGCGCCTTGACAAAGGAATTTAGCTTAAAAATTTGCATTGAATTGGCGGACTTAGCATGATGAACGGTGTAGAGGGGGTGAACATGTGCATCATGCTAAGTCCAGCTCCCGACAGAGGAGTGGCAGCCTCTCCTCCGCAGTGAGCGTTCGAACATTCCACGTGGCCACACAAAGTGGCTTTTCGTTGTTTCTGGAGGAACCCCGAGGGTAGAGATTCAATCTCCTGGCTCCGCCAATTGGGGTTTGGCCAGGAGACGTCATAGACGCCTGGCCCCCCGGGGCCTCCGGCACAAGCTTTTTAGTTACATATTTCAGTTTAAATCGTGGTTTCGTGGCAATTAATTGAAGGTGGAGGAGTTACCAGCCCCTCGCACCCATCCAGAGCCCCCGTTTAGCCCCTGTGGTGGACACATATGCCATGAGGGGAGGAGCCAATCAAAATTGGATCTCCCCCCACAGCACTGTCCACGACAGAGTTGCCTGTCCGGCACCGCGAGGAGGTAGGGGGTTGTTTTGCCGGACACACACAGTCACTCTCACACACACACACTCACTCTCTCACATACAACAACCGCCATTCGCCACTAAGTGGCGGTGACGTCACCACGACGCTTGTGCCAGGCTATGTGCACCCTGAGGCCACGTGAAGTGTCGAACGCCCGCTGGCAGGAGGTCACGGGGCAGACCCAGGTGCCACGGGTCGACTGACTGAGATGACTGGCTGATGCACCACCTGTGCCCCCTACTGTGCCAACCTGCTGTGCTTTAGCCACCCGGCGCTCCGCTCGCTGTTGTGAGCATCGCTCCTCCGCCCTCTGTTGTTGTTGGAGGGCGACTGCCTCCAACTGCCCAGTAGCATCCTTCACGAGCCCCCTCCACAGAGGCCGATCTTGACACCGCTGGTACCAGTCATCGGCAAGTCCACTCAGCTCCACGTCCTCCTGTACCACATCACTCCATCTCTTCTCTAGCCCGTGCCGCGCCCGCTTAGCCCCCTCAATCCGGCCAAACAAAAGCTGTTTCGGCATGCGGTGGCTGGGCATGCGGGCTACATGACCCAGCCATCGCAGCCTTGCCTGCCGGAGGAGCTCACCGATGGGACCCTGCCCAGATCTTTCAAGGATTTGTGAGCTCCTCACACAATCCAGTCTGGTTAAACCCAGGATGGATCGTAGGCAGGCCAGCCTAAATGTTTCTAACCGGCGAAGATGTTCCATTAGGGGGGTCCACGTTTCTCTCACATACACTCACTCTCACACACACACACTCTCACTCTCACGTACACGCATGCCTGTACGGATCTCCGCGGACCCCCATGGATATCTCCACCAATCTCTCTACGGCGGATGACCTCCACGGGTCGTCGTCCCTCGCCCCCCTCCCCCCTCCCCCCTTCCCCCCGCCAGCGCCACGGGCCTGGGCCTGGTGCTGTGCAGCGGTGCCCTGGGCCGCCTCATGGTGCCCGTCATGGACCTGCACGACAACCGCGGCTCCTTCCTCTTCCACGTGGTGCTCGCCTCGCTCGCCGTGCTCGCCGTGCTCGCCATCATGCTGCTGCCCGAGAGCAAGCGCAAGCGCCTGCCCGACGACCTGCGCCAGGGCGACCGCTACCGCCGCCCGCCGCTCTTCACCGCCACCAGCTTCACCTTCGCCGGCGGCGACCGCGGGCGCGGCGGCGGCGACGACGGCGGACGCGATGGCGGCCGCGACGACCGCGACGGCGGGCGGCGGCGCCTGGGGGACGTGCCGCTGCTGGCGGGCGCCGCCGGCGGCGGCGGCGGCGGCGGCTTCGCGTTCCTCCCGGCGGACGACGACGACGATGACGCCGGCGCGGACGCCGACGCCGTCGCCGGTGCGGACGCCGACGACGGCGTCGGCCCAGCGGGGATGCGGGGCGGAGATCGTCGGCTGGCACTGGAGGGCCACGTGGTGGAAGCGGCGCTGCTGCCCCCGCCGCCGGCGCCGCCCGGTCGGAGCCACGTCCCCGAGACCGGCGCCGGCCGCGGCGCCAGCGGCGGGCGGCGCCGGCGCGGGGAGTCGGAGGGGCGGGGGGACGAGGGGCGGGGGGAGGAGGAGGAGTGCGGCAGGGGGAGGGCGCGGAGCTCGGAAGCGTGAAGACGGTGCTTGGCACGGACTCACGGCTGGTGCTCACACAGCCACACACATCTCACACACACACACACATCCCACACACACTCACACACACACACACATCCCACACACATCCCACACACACACACATCCCACACACATCCCACACACACATATCCCACACTCACACATCCCACACCCACACACACCCACACACACACCCCTCCACCCCCCCACCCCCCATCTCTCTCTCCCCCACGGCGTTGCCACCTGTCCCGGTTTTCCCCAGGACCCAGGTGCTTTCCTGAGTGAGGGGGGGAAGGGGCTGCAGTCTACCCCGGTGGGGGGTGGGAAGGGATGGGGGTGGTGGTGGATGGCACCACCACAAAACTTTTTGTTGTTGTTTCCCACTCCCACATTCAAGGCCGAGCCGGCGCACGGTAACGACGGCACGTTGACACCGGCACCGTGACACCGGCACCGTGACACCGGCACAGGGTCAAGCAGGGCCCAGGCGCTGTGCTCACGACGCGTTCACCGGCACGGCACACCTCAAAATAGCTCCTGTGGTGGGGAAATCAAAAAACCCAGGCACGGAGCTCCTGCCGGCCGGGCCTTGCCTGGCCCGGCCTGGCCTGGCCCGGCCTGGGCTGGCCGGGCCTGGGCTGGCCTTGCCTTGCCCGGCCTGGCCTTGCCTGGCCTGGCCCGGCCTGGCCTGGCCCGGCCTAGCCCGGCCTGACCTGGCCCGGCCCGGCCTGGCCCGGCCTGGGCTGGCCGGGCCTGGGCTGGCCTTGCCTTGCCCGGCCTGGCCTTGCCTGGCCTGGCCCGGCCTGGCCTGGCCCGGCTTGGTCTGGCTTGGTTGTGGCGGTGGAAAAAATTAAGTTCTTGTTGGTTTGCCGTCTTGGCCGCTTAGCGCCAAAACCTTCCGCTGCTGCTGCTGCTGCTGTGATGGCGAGCGCCGGATTGGACCGTTGGCACCGGCGGTCGTGGGTTGTTGTGGTGATTGCGGTTGTTGGTTGTTGTGGTTGTTGTTGTTGTTGTGGGGAGCGGCGGTAGTGGAGCGGTTAGCGCCGCACTACGGACCTGGCCTCCCGAGTTCGATTCCCGCTCACGGCCAACACCGGTGACGTTTCTCTGCACCGGTCCTGAGCCTCCCCTACCCTACAGGCTCTCCAGGGGAACTTTATTTTGTTGTTTTTGTTGTTGTTATGGTCGTGGTTTCCCTGTGCCCTGTTGCGTGACGCACACAGAGCCCTCGCTCGGATGCTCACCCATCACTCACCCAATCCTCACCCATTACATACTCACCCATCGCTCACCCATCACTCACCCAATCCTCACCCATTACATACTCACCCATCACTCACCCATCACTCACCCATCACTCACCCATCGCTCACCCATCACTCACCCATTACGTACTCACCCATCGCTCACCCATCACTCATCCATCGCTCACCCATCGCTCACCCATCACTCACCCATCACTCACCCATCGCTCACCCATTCCTCACCCATCGCTCACCCATTCCTCACCCATTACATACTCACCCATCGCTCACCCATTCCTCACCCATTACATACTCACCCATCGCTCGCCCATTACTCACCCATCGCTCACCCATCACTTACCCATTACATACTCACCCATCGCTCACCCAATCCCCACCCATTACGTACCCACTACATCGCTCGCCCATTACTCAACCACAGAGCCATCTCTAGGGTGCACGACTCATCGGGGCGACTGCCCCAGGCCCTGCGCTCTGGGGGGCCTAAGCGCGAATGTGTTGTGGGGGGCCCCTCAACACCCCCCCCCCCTTCCTAATGGACGGCCCTAGTTTACGCACAGCAGCTGTTACTACCGGCGGCTGCTGCTGCTATGATGACGATGATACTGCTATGATGATGATGATACTGCTATTATGATGATGATACTGCTGTTATGATGATACTGCTGTTATGATGATGATACTGCTGTTATGATATTGCTGCTGTTGTGATGCGGTTATAATGATGATCGTACTGCTGTTATGATGCTGCTGTTATAATGCTGACGCTGTTATGATGATGATACTGCTGTTATGATACTACTGCTGTTATAATGCTGATGATGATGTGTTCATGGCACTGACGATACCACTGCTTGCATCAGCACGTGTCTATTAACTACTGTATTGTAACCACTACAACCACCATCACTACAACCACCACCAACTATTGTATTGTAACCACTACAACCACCACCACTACAACCACCACCTCAACCATCACCACTACAACCACCACCACTACAACCACCACAACCACCACCACCACAACCACCACCACCACTACAACCACCACCACAACCACCACTACAACCACCGCCACTACAACCACCACCACTACCACCACCACCACAACCACCACTACAACCACCACCACAACCACTGTATTGTAACCACCACAACCACCACTACAACCACCACCAACTACTGTATTGTAACCACTACAACCACCACCACTACAACCACCACCACAACCACCACTACAACCACCACTACAACCACCACCACAACCACTGTATTGTAACCACTACAACCACCACCACTACAACCACCACCACAACCACCACTACAACCACCACCACCACAACCACCACCAACTACTTTATTGTAACCACTACAACCACCACCACTACAACCATCACCAACTACTGTATTGTAACCACTACAACCACCACCACAACCACCACCACTACAACCACCACCAACTACTGTATTGTAACCACTACAACCATCACCACTACAACCACCACCACTACAACCACCACCCCTACAACCACCACCAACTACTGTATTGTAACCACTACAACCACCACCACTACAACCACCACCAACTACTGTATTGTAACCACTACAACCACCACCAACTACTGTATTGTAACCACTACAACCACCACCAACTACTGTATTGTAACCACTACAACCACCACCACTACAACCATCACCACGACAACCACCTCAATAGCCATCATCACTATAGCCACCACTATAACCACTACAACCACCACCATTGTAGTCACCGCCACTACAACCACCACCACCACCACTACAACCACCACCACTACAACCACCACCACAACCACCACCACCACTACAACCACCACCACAACCACCACCACCACTACAACCACCACCACAGCCACCACCACTACAACCACCACTACAACCACCACCACCACAACCACCACCACCACTACAACCACCACCACCACAACCACCACCACTACAACCACCACCACTACAACCACCACCACTCCAACCACCACCACTACAACCACCACCACTACAACCACCACCACCACTACAACCACCACCACTACAACCACCACCACCACTACAACAACCACCACCAATACAACCACCACCACTACAACCACCACCATTGTAGTCACCACCACTACAACCACCACCACAACCACCACCACAACCACCACCACCACTACAACCACCACCACTACAACCAAAACCACCACTACAACCACTACAACCACCACCACCACTACAACCACCACCACTACAACCACCACCACTAATACCACCACAACTACAACCAACACCACAACCACCACTACAACCACCACCACCACTACAACCACCACCACCACTACAACCACCACTACAACCATCACCACCACTACAACCACTACCACCACTACCACCACTACAACCACCACTACAACCACCACCACCACTACAACCACCACTACAACCACCACCACCACCACTACTACCACCACTACCACCACTACAACCACCACCACTACAACCACCACTACAACCACCACTACAACCACCACCACTACAACCACTACACCCACCACTACATCCACCACTACAACCACCACCACCACTACACCCACCACTACAACCACCACCACTACACCCACCACTACAACCACCACTTCAACCACCACTACAACAACCACCACTCAACCATTGCTGCTGCTGACACAGCCGCGATCAATGCAGACGACTGTTGCCACAGAGGGCCCAGCTAGCCCCGCCCTTGACCTCCTAGCCCCGCCCTTAATCTGCTAGCCCCGCCCTTCACTTCCTAGCCCCGCCCTTCACCTCCTAGCCCCGCCCTTCACCTCCTAGCCCTGCCCTTCACCTCCTAGCCCCGCCCTTCACCTCCTAGCCCCGCCCTTCACCTCCTAGCCCCGCCCTTCACCTCCTAGCCCTGCCCTTCACCTCCTAGCCCTGCCCTTCGCCTCCTAGCCCCGCCCTTCGCCTCCTAGCCCCGCCCTTCATCTCCTAGCCCCGCCCTTCACCTTCTAGTCCCGCCCTTCACCTCCTAGCCCCGCCCTTCACCTCCTAGCCCGCCCTTCACCTCCTAGCCCCGCCCTTCACCTCCTAGCCCCGCCCTTAATCTCCTAGCCCCGCCCTTCACTGTGGGTGTAGAGTGAGGGGCCCACCCCTCGGCCTGAACTGCTGTGCTGCTCGTGCCTGGTGAATGACTGAATGAGTTGTCTGGTGAATGATTGAATGAGTTGTCTGGTGAATGAATGAATGAGTTGTCTGGTGAATGAATGAATGAGTTGTCTGGTGAATGAATGAATGAGTTGTCTGGTGAATGATTGAATGAGTTGTCTGGTGAATGATTGAATGAGTTGTCTGGTGAATGAATGAGTTGTCTGGTGAATGAATGAATGAGTTGTCTGGTGAATGATTGAATGAGTTGTCTGGTGAATGATTGAATGAGTTGTCTGGTGAATGGATGAATGAGTTGTCTGGTGAATGAATGAGTTGTCTGGTGAATGATTGAATGAGTTGTCTGGTGAATGATTGAATGAGTTGTCTGGTGAATGAATGAGTTGTCTGGTGAATGATTGAATGAGTTGTCTGGTGAATGAATGAATGAGTTGTCTCGTGAATGAATGAGTTGTCTGGTGAATGAATGAGTTGTCTGGTGAATGAATGAGTTGTCTAGTGAATGAATGAGTTGTCTGGTGAATGAATGAATGAGTTGTCTGGTGAATGATTGAATGAGTTGTCTGGTGAATGATTGAATGAGTTGTCTGGTGAATGAATGAATGAGTTGTCTGGTGAATGAATGAATGAGTTGTCTGGTGAATGAATGAATGAGTTGTCTGGTGAATGACTGAATGAGTTGTCGAATGAATGAATGAGTTGTCTGGTGAATGAATGAAAGGTCGGGTGAATTGAGGAATGAATGGTCAGGTGAAGGAATTGATGGTTAGTTGAATGGGTAAGTGAATGGTCGGGTGAAGGAATGAGTGAATGGTCAGGTGAGCGATCGGGTGAAGGAATGAGTGAATGGTCAGGTGAGCGATCGGGTGAAGGAATGAGTGAATGGTCAGGTGAGTGATCGGGTGAAGGAATGAGTGAATGGTCAGGTGAATGAATAAATGTGGTGTTGGGGGGTGGGGGAGTATGGGGGTAGTTTATCACCTGCTGTGCCGAATGACGATCTCTGTGCGCGCGTGCGTGCATGCGCGTGTGTGGGGAGCGGTGGTGCAGCGGTTAGCGCTACGCTGCGCTATGAACCTGGCG